TTACACGCAATGTTAACTTTAGTTACAGTCCCCTGTAATTATTCTCTAACGGGCTTAGATGAGCTACTTTCTGTACTTGGTGACAGTGTAAATATATGGTTCTTGTTTATTTTTTACTTGAGATTATCTGTGGTTATACAGCGAAGTCATACAGGGAGACAAGTTGCTTCCTCCACAACCTTAGTGATGGTTAATTTCGCTTCAGTAGCAAATATTTTCATTATTCATTATTGTATTAATCATTCTAGTTACTACTGCCGCTAAGTCGGTAGTGATTGCGAAAACTGGTAAAGTATTCGAAAAGTTAGAAATAGTGAAATGACAATAAAGAAATGCGAGATTAAACCGTAAAAGTATTTTTATTACTGATATTACAAATAAAGAGTATTCTTTTTTGATTTAATAACGAATATCAAAGGTTATCGTTAAAAATAAAACAATTGCTGGTTTCTAAGATAATTTACGAATATTTTATAGTCATTTACAACTACCGTACCATATCGTGTTTTAGTAATGTTACAACAAATTACAGACGACGTGAACTATATTTCAAATGTGTGTTATAAATAAATACACGTATAGAACTAGTCGGTGGTAGCACCACGTCTTTCTGTTCGAAATAGCAATAAACCGACACGATTGGCGGGCTCGTATGATATTAATATAGTTGCGCCGGTGCAGGGAAGCCTTGACCTGGCCTTCACATGACCTCGGTCAGCTGATCACATCAAAATGTCCGTAATACTAGTTTAATTCCCGACATTCGAGACAGGAGGTAGGATTTCCACAATTACATTTAAATTGAAGTATTGTATAACGTTCTATTATACGTAGATATTTTGACGACGATTTGAGGGTAGGGTTTATGTAAATACTTGATAATCAGGGTCTTCAGGTCGAGACAAGTCCGTTTGAAGCGATTCATATAAAATGTATTCGGCTTTCTTCTTCTAATATCGAGTATAGTTTCAACGACTTACGTCTATTAAAATTAAAATTTCATGGAATTTTCAGGTGAAATTTCAGAATTTCCTCTAAATTCTTTCGCTTTGAGAACGATTTTGTTTATTGGCCTTTTAGGCAGACGGCTCGTGCATACGGTCCACGTGATGGTAAGTGGTTACCATCGCTCATGAACATCAGCAATGCCAGGGGCACAGCGAAGTCGCTGCCTACGTTTAAGTAATTCTCGTCTGTTCAACACTATACCATGTTTTATTATTTTGAATTTATCACCAGTTCCTAATTACGTAAAATTCCGTAATGTTCCTAATTTGTTTAACCTAATAGGAAAGAAAAATATTTTGACATTGAATGCCATAATTATTTTTATTACCTAATATGAGCAGACGAGCTAGAGTTTATTAAACATAGGCAAAATTAAGATAAAATAAGCTAGAATTCTAAATTACGTTGGTAACATGGCTGCCCACGCTTCAAACCGGAACAGTTGTTGATTTTACTAATTACGTTTTACTTTGATGACAAGACTCACAAACCTTTGTGAGTTTACTAATATTTTTCTAAATTAGTTTAGTCGTTTATAAAACCTATTAAATTAATGATGAAAATTTCGTTCGTTCTTTTTTTTTCGTTTTCTGAATGAAAATAGAACAACGCGTCTTCGTTCGAGTTCAAGGCCCTGATTTATATTTCAAACGGTGAAACTACATATTCGGTCAGCCGTGTGTAAATTGGCTACCGTAACCCTTGAAATTTGGTTTATGAAGCGAAGTTAACTACATACATATTCATTATTTTATGAATAGATACATGTGCGAGATTTATATACGCTAATTTACATTTCACTTTACATTACATAATATATGATATTATTTAGGGACTGAAATAAATATTTTGATGGGTATAATGTTAAAACTGTAGTTTAATATAGTAGATGTTTCACTTAGTCATTTTCTTTATTTACATTTTAGAAAACAAAAAGAATGATTTTCAATTTTACAAGCGAAACCTTTTTTATAAAAGTATAGAAAAAGATCGTGATTTCGAATTAGGAATACATGAACATTTTTTTCTGCAATGACATTCGCTGTCACAATTAAAAAAACCAAACCACTTTTATTGTTTAATCTCGCGAGATTTTAATAAAGTTAAGTTTAATAAGGCTCTCGAAAGCCGATAAAAATTAATACTATATGGACATTCGTTGTACTAAGGCAATTGAAAGATTATTTTTGTCTTAATCTGATCGCACAGCATGATTGACATCATTCTCGTTGTGTTTTATCTGTGGACCTTCATAAACGCAAGGGAACAGTGACTACAAATCCTAGCTAATTATTCTGAAAGGTAATTATGTTTTTCCAAATCCTTTTTGTTTTAGTATACGTCAATTTAAATGAGTTAATTTCGGGTGGCGGTGTTCACACTGTGGACCTGTTTCACCGTGTACCGAAAAAAAGTACATCCCGTTTGATTTTAAATTACTTTTGTTTATTATTTTAGTTCAATAATTATAAACTGGATTCCTTGAAACTTAAAAAGAGGTTAACTTAATAGGCATCTGCACCGAGGTCACATATACAAAGTATTCTATCATCAAGTATCCACTTATATGTACATATTTGTTTAGCCCGTTGGATCTTTTAAAACAAATGAAGAAACACACAAATAAAAATTAAGTCGCTATTTATTCTTGAAATGTTTATGAAGTCACCGAATGACGCAACCCAGTGAAACTTATAACTTGATTAATGGCTCAGTTCTCAAAAGTTCACCGCTTACGTACATTGGAATACTAAATGCCTACAGTATTTCCCGTGTGGGCTATTACCTATGAAAAATTACTGGTTTATCGCAAACATCCATTACAGGAGTATCGAACTGTCTGTCAGCTATAATTATCTTATGAAAAATTGCTGATCGATTTTCGGGGGTATGTTTAAGATTAAATTGACAGATATTGATCTAGGTAACAAAAGTCTATATTTATTATGATCGAAACGTCTAAGTGTACTAGATGATGTATGTACGATATCTTAAAAGAATTTTATTCCGCTTAGTGTTTTCTTTTATTTCTTAAATGGGAGTCCCACTGCTTTATGGCAGAAAGAGGCAGGGTGTTGGTACCTACCCGTGCTCATAAAACGTTCCACTTCAAGTAATTACATTAATTATAATTTTTGGCGGGCTTCTTTTTTACTACACAATACATCGGGCCTGTTATCCTTTAGGCCGCGGCGACATAACAACTTGTTTTCAAAGTTTATCTGGAAATAAAGATATGTCACGCATTCAAGTCACTGTTTTTACACGTAACTTATGTTTATTTTCAATCCTGTAATTTCTAATTCATGTTAATAAGTCTTATTATATTTAAAAGAAATGAAAATATATTTTACGAGAGATAGTGTTCCCGAACTTTCAATCCTATATATAAATATCATCATCATGAAGCCGGAAATTTAGGTAAAGATAGTACGCTTAGAATCCAACCGGAGATATTGTGCAATCAACTTTTCTGACCACTAAAGCAATGTGCTGGTTTTTTTTTGTTTCAACATGAAGTTATAATCAAAGTAAATTTGGTCAGTCGTCCGGCTACCACGAATACTGTAAAGTATACAAAATGTGGGACGTAATATAATGACAACAAAACACACACGATCAAACCGTAAAAGCAAATTTGATTATGACTAGGACCGAGAGCAAAACCGGAGAATCCTAGATGTAGTTATTGTTTAGAATTATTTAATAAAAAGGGTATTTTAGTTGATCATCCTCGTCCTTGCATCGATAATCCTCAATGCGGAGGATCGTGGCCTCTCTGAATAACTTTCTTCTGCGCTAGCCCGGTCTATCCTCGACTTCCTAGATGGCATCGTGGAGTAAAGTCTTTCTGTGAGGTCATAATTGGAGTCCATTATCGTCCATGGTGAATATGTCCACTGCTGGGCATAGGCCTCACCAAGGTCTATCGTTAGAACCGGTACTTCGATGTCCGTATCTAGCATGTTCACGCGATCTACGGAAAATTGTCGGTCTAGCTCGTGTGAGGCTAGGTACCCACGCTGGGTACCCACGCTATATTTCGGAGCCAATAGACATAAAACGAAAAAAAATCAAGGCCCTTATATAACACAGTCGATTCACGTTCCTAAGTAATTTTATGGCGACGTTGATTTAGAAGACCATATTATTATCCGCTATTTTCGTTTCTTCGCTATTTGCACGGAAAACATTAAAAGATCGTACGCATCGGTAGCCAAAAGCTAAAACCGTGTAATGTGAGACTGTTTCAACATGGCGCAGTAAAACCACGCGGAGCGCTCGCGACCCCTACTTATACGAGAATCGAAGTAATTCCCTTATTTATGAGTGTTTCCAGTTCGTAATGACATCCGATTGCATTCTCCAATAATATATTAATACGTGAAGGAAAAACTTTGTACCCCTTTTTATAAAAATTGCGTGGTCTGAGGGGTATGAAATTTCCCATACTTATAGAGAATATAGAGAAGGAGTGCAGAATGCAAATATTTTTTTAAGATTATGCATAAAAAGTACATTAAATCTATAAGAAAAACAATACACACACTACAATGTATTTGAAGCTTACACATATGTATACTCTTTAGCTTATTGTTAAAGTTTTGTTGTCAAATTGAGAATAGATTAATATTGTTTGTCTTTAATATTATTCGTCTATAGTGTAGCCTTGGGGAAATCTGTGATTTTAAAGGTATTATAATAAATAGTTTTTGATAATAGAACCATAATAATTCAAACTTATAATTTCAGTTGACCATAGTCGAATTTCGAGTACAGGGTGACCACTAGTATTCTTAAATACGTTTTATTTTTGTTTCAGGTGCAGGAGTAGCGTTAGAAAATACACGAACAGGTATGAATAATCTAATTCTGAACGATCGCACAAACTAAAGTTAAATTGAATCGTAATGAAAGTAAAATGGAAATGGAATCCAATTAAAAACCTTCCATGATTTTAAGGAAATCAATCCAATAAACTTTGTTACAGATTCCACGAAAACGAGCATTCAATAATGGCGGTGAAATTACTTCTGAGAATTCAATCCATTTTAATATTTACGCATTGAAAGCAATAACTGTGATGTGAAGATTTAGGTGTAGGGTTAAGATATTTTGTATTGGTTCGATGGGACGTGGAAGGAGTTGCCCGCTCAAATGAGTCAGTTGCCGAATAAGCACCATCGCCCTGAGGCGACTTACAGAAGTTGTTCTCAGTCATTGCCTCTTGATATCCTGTGAGTATTTATTTTATGAATTTATTTTCATTCAGGACATTTTTATTTATCGCAACACTGCGTGGAATCGTACCCGATCCTGTATACCGAATGGTAAACAGTCGACGTCGCCCAAAACACGTCATTACAGATCCTCCCGTTCCATTAACGGTGCTTTTAGGTATCACAAGCACCGGTAACCGTGCTCGTCGAACCCGTCGCTTGCGACGAAGGGCTCGACGAGTAATTTAACCCACAGACACAGCCCACTGAGTTTCTCGGCGGATCTTCTCAGTGAGTCGCGTTTCCGATCCGGTGGTAGATTCTGGGAAGCACTGCTCTTGCTAAGTGTTAGCAACATTCCGGTTTGAGCCCTGTGAGCTCACTTACACGTTACGGTGAAGCTAACATAGCCTCTCAAGGCTATCAACATAGGTAGGACAAAAAAAAAGTGTGGTGTCGTGGGACACCGGAATATAAAAATATTATTATTAAGTTCTATTCGAGATATAAAGAAAATAAAACTGAAAGGTTTCGCAACAACCTACGGTCGTAACGTGCGAACTTATTGTGGTACACTTCATTTACGATTGTTTGCATAAGAGTTAACATATTGCGCAAACGAACGCTCTGAGATCGTGGTCAATGAATGATAAAACATATGTTGTTTTTTGTACGTTATTACAAAGTTAAGTCGTACACTGTGCGTTACTAATAAAAATCTTACGTTACGGACGTTTTTTCCCGGTTAGGTTGCCCCTCCGCATCGTCCCAAAACATCGTTCCAAAAAAAAGCGTGGAATTTTGTTCTCATTGCCTTCAGACGTCGCTAAAGTTAAGGACATAACTAAATTAATAGCGAACAGTCAATAAGATGTTATTTATAGATGGTTGCCGCGGTCGTCGTTCCGGCCAGCGGAGGGCGAGCTGGCGGACTGCGTTCTGGTGGTGGGCGTGTCGCGGCCCAAGCTAGCCGCGGCGCTGCTCTCCGTCACGCTACTGTCGCTCTTTCTCACCTTCCATGTCCTCTATGACAGCGCACTCTATAGCATACAGGTGAGGAAAACAAGAAAAACGTCTTGAACTACAAAATTCAAAAAATTCAAAATTCAAAATTATTTATTTCCACTTAGATGTCAGTATAACACACTTGTTGAATGTCAAAATATAAATAACAAAGTTAACTCTACCACTGGTTCAAAAAAAGCCACAGTCCTGAGAAGAACCGGCGAAACAAACTCAGCGGGTTTTTCTTTTTTTTTCCCAAAAATTTTTTTTTTTTGATGACGCTCCAATCTTCGGAGGACGCTGAGTCATATAGACAACTCAATAGACATATCATGAAGTCCTTGCGACACGACCTACGCCCCTTTAATACTCAGCGTATCAAAGAGACGATTGAGCAAAACCAAGGCTCTAAAGTGTTCGCAAGAGACGCTTCTATTGGGCAAAGCCAGCTGACGAAGCTGAAGACCGAAGATGGGCGTCGTGTAACGTCGAATAAGTCAGAGGTCCTGCGGGAGATAGAGAGGTTCTACGGGCAGCTGTTTACCTCGGTCTCAGCTGAACCACAAGGTTTAGCTGCAGACCCTAGAGCCAAGCTAACCCGACACTACACCGAAGACATCCCGGACATCAGCCTGTACGAGATTAGGATGGCTCTCAAACAGCTTAAGAATAACAAGGCACCGGGCGAGGATGGAATTACTACGGAGCTTCTGAAAGCGGGCGGGACGCCGGTACTGAAAGTCCTTCAGAAGCTGTTCAATTCCTCTTTGCTCGATGGAAAACCGCCACAGGCATGGAACAGGGGTGTTGTGATCCTGTTCTTCAAAAAAGGTGACAAAACCTTATTGAAGAACTATAGGCCCATAGCAGTGCTGAGCCATGTCTACAAGCTGTTCTCGAGAGTCATCACGAAGCGTCTCGAACGCAGGTTTGATGACTTCCTCCTACCGAACAAGCCGGTTTCCGAAAAGGCTACAGTACCATAGACCACATACATACGCTGCGGCAGATTGTACAGAAGACCGAAGAGTACAATCGGCCATTATGCTTAGCGTTTGTGGACTATGAGAAAGCCTTTGATTCCGTCGAAACATGGGCGGTCCTTAGATCTCTCCAGCGGTGCCGTATTGACCACCGGTACANATGACCGTTCGTGATTTGTTACATGATCTGTAATCCATACGTGATCTCCAATTATACATGTAAAAAGCAATTACCGTTAGTAATAATACCGTGTAATAATTCCTTTTTACATTCACACTTGAAGTTTCGCGGTTATCATTAGAAATCTATATATTAATGAGTGAAGCAAAAACTTTTTACCCCTTCTTACGAAAATTGCGCAGACCGAGAAGATTGAAATTTCCCACACTTATAGAGAATATAGAGAGTGCAGAATGTATTTTTTTTTATATTAGGTATGCATAAAAATGCATTAAATCATTAAAAAAATCATTACACACATTACCGTGTATTTGACACAACACATATATGTGTATATACTCTTTGTTTATTGTAAAACTTTTGTTATTGTTTAAAGTCTGTGGTCAAAATGAGAATAGATTAATATTGTTCGTGTTTAATATTATTTGTCTATAATGTAGTATTGGCGAAATCTGTGATTATAGAAGTATAATAATAGTCTTTGACAATAGAACCATAATAATGTTCAAACTAATAATTACAATTAATTATAGTCGAATTTCGACTACTGAAGGACCACTAATTAAAAAAATTAGACGAATGGTTGATTCTTATTACGATTTGACCTAGAGCTTTTAACTAGCGTGGTCAAAAAATCGGTAAATACATATTCGGAACTTCCGAATCAAAAATAACTAATACAAGAACGAGATTGAACCGCATTTCTTTTTTTTTTTTTGTAATGCGATAACGCGTTCAGTAGCGTTGTCATGTGTGAATATCGTTCTAGATAATAATAATACGTGAAGCAAAAACTTTGTATCCCTTTTTACGAAAATTGCGCGGGCGGAGGAGTATGAAATTTCCCACACTTATAGAGAATATAGAGAAGAAGTGCACAATGCTAATATTTTTTTTAAATAATGCATAAAAGATACATTAAATCAATAAAGAAAACATTACACGCACTACATACCATGTATTTGACGCACACACGCATGCATACTATTTATTTATTGTCAAACTTTTGTTCTTGACGTCTGTTGTCAAATTGAGAATAGATTAAATATTTTTTGTTTTTTGTTAAAAAAAATTATAGTGTAGTTTTGGCGAAATTTGTGATTATAGAAGTATAAAATACAATCATAATAGTGTACAAACTTACAATTCCAATTAATTATAGTCGAATTTCGACTACTGCGGGACCTCTAGTCGTCATTGACGACGCGACATGATTGTTTCGTCGTGTTCGGTACGTATTACATGTGTTGAGTATTTTAGTTGTTTTTTTAGAATGTTTACGGGTGTTTATTATTTATTTACCCGAAGCTAACAATTCTAACCTAAAAAATCCTAAACAAAAAATATATCGTTTAGACTGGTAGTGTTATGTATGAAAGGTTTCGTTTTATGATTCTAAAAACAACTACTGAAAATCGTGAATATATTTAACTAATAGACGCTCTTGCTTGACACATTGGGAATCGAGGAATACTGTGCTACATTTGAATTGTATAACCCCAAACCGATCTGTGATCATTTTATTTCATTTTATTATTGCTTAGATGGGTGGACGAGCTCACAGCCCACCTGATGTTAAGTGGTTACTGGAGCCCATAGACATCTACAACGTAAATGCGCCACCCACCTTGAGATATAAGTTTTAAGGTCTCAGCATAATTACAACGGCTGCCCCACCCTTCAAACCGTAACGCATTACTGCTCCACGGCAGAAATAGGCGGGGTGGTGGTGACTTGACTTGGTTTCTCGTAGACAAAAATGAAAAATACTCAGAAAAGAAAATAGTCAATTATTGGCAAAAAGTAGAACTTTACTATCCAAATTAAAGCGTAAAGATACAAGCATGTGATAATTTCGAGTTGCAGTAGCTGTTTCCCTTTTACAACCCCCGTAACTCCTATCGCATAACTTGTAATCGTAATTAATGTTGCGCGCCGCTTCCCAGCAGATAACAGACAGCCCTTTCTTTATACTCGATTCGCAATGGTGCTGTGGAATAGTGATCTCAAATCGACATAGCCACATGTGACACACACGTCAACTTCTTCTTCTTCAACTCGTGTTCACCCAGTGCTGAGATCATAACCTTAATTAGTAGGTAAGCTCAAGGGGCTCAAACCTGATGACGTTGCTAACACGAACCCTAGCAAGAACCGTACTTCGCAGAATCTACCATCGGATCGGAAACACGACCCACTGAGAAGATCCGGCGAGAAACTAAGTGGGCTGTGTCTGTGGGTTAATTTACTCGTCGAGCCCTTCGTCGCAAGCGACGGGTTCGACGAGAACGATGACCACTACCTAAAATGCACCATTAGTGGATCAGAAGAATCCAAAGTGACGTGTTTTAGTGATGCCAGCTAAACCATCATAAAAAATAGAAATCGTATTTCAGAGAAAAACGAAAATTCATTTTGTGTTATAGGTTTTTGTGAAACTGTTCGAAGTGCAGTCCTAGATGTGTCGTTAGACTATTGTTAATAAATCGAAAATTTAAGTCACTTATTTTTCATCGATCTTGCTGCAACTAAATTTCCATGTTCCCTCTCTGTTTTATTAGGCTATGTATTTAAATTATACCCGACTGACAAATTCCAAAGAAAAGAAATAGCGTTTTCAGGTTTTGAATATGGGGCAGCCGTTTTATTGAGATATTTTAAAAACTCCTTAGAGGGACCTAATCTAGACTAACTCACTAGTTTGGCGTCCACTGGGGACAGAGTGACCGAGAGAAAGGCGTTTCTTGAACGATAGGGGGTTTTAGTCGATCCAACTCCGACATGCTCGCGTACCACTTCCAACGTATACCAACGTGTACCAGCGATATCCTTCTGATAAAAAAAAGATGTGTGGTGTCATGGGACACCGGATAGGAACGAAGTTCCTTATTATAAAAATATTAATTTTAAGTTCTATTCGAGGTATAAAGAAAATAAAACTGAAGGTTTCGCATCAACCCATGGTCATTCGGTAACGTGCGAACTTATTGTGGTACACTTAATTCACGGTTGTTTGCATAAGATTAAGTGTATTGCGCAAACGAACGCTCTGAGATCGTGGTCAATGAATGATAAAAATATATATTATTTTTCGTACGTTATTACAAAGTTAAGTCGTACACTGTGTGCATTACTAATAAAAATCTTACGTTACGGACGTTTTTTCCCGGTCAGGGTACCCCCTTCCGCATCGTCCCATAAGGAACTTCGTTCCAAAAAATATACTACTTCTAAAAATAAACATCGGTCGAGTGGGCGTTAAGTTTCGTTTGTGGTTGACAGAACTAAAAATATTTTCTCTATTACGATCAATTCACAATAAATACCTCGAACGACAATAACAATTATGATAAGCTGCTTTAGAAAACGAACGCCGGTGCGAATAAGCACTTTACGGAGTTCTTGTTGTGCCGGCGTCGAGTTGTGCCGCTTTTACGACATTAAACTACAAGGAAAAGCTATGTAAAACCTACGTGCACAATACAACCGAGCCTGTTAACTTTAATTACTGTACATCCGATCGTTACTTCGTTCACACCTAGTTTAGATAGCTAGTGAATTTTTACGTCTTTCATTTAATGTCTACTTTATTTTAAAGCTTTTTAAACGAATTTGATACCCGTGCTTCATTTATTATGCGAATGCAACGGGACTATTTTATTTGTTTGGTGGTAGGACGTCTTGTGAGTCCGCACGGGTAGGTAACACCGCCCTGCCTGTTTCTGCCGTGAGACAGTAATGCGTTTCGGTTTGAATGGTGGGGCAGCCGTAGTAACTATACTGAGATCTTAGAACTTATATCTCAAGGTGAGTGGCGCATTTACGTTGTGATGTCTATGGGCTACAGTAACCACTTAACACCAGGTAGGCTGTGAACTCGTCCACCTATCTAAGCAATAAAAAAAACTATGCTTCAATGTTCTCATTGAATTGTTTTTTCTTTCAAAAATAATTAACTACTTTTGCTTTCGTGGAAATACTAATATATTCTTTTTTAATATTATCACACAAAGATGAATAATAAACTTAATTAATCTCTTGAACCCAGCAAGTGTTATCAATATTGTAATTCTCAAAGCGATTTCATAGTTACATAATAACATTATCTAAACGTGTTTGTGTTAGCCTGGTTGTAATTAACCCCACAAATTGGAAGTCTCTTGTCTTGAGCTAATTACATCCGTAGACAATAGAACATATGTATACACATACAATACAGGAAGCTTAGCATAAGAACAAAATAGCGTCCCAATTACGCATATAAACATGGTAGGTACCTTACGCACACAAAAACGTAGTCGGAACAAAAATAAATCGAGTGATTGTATTGATACAAAGGTATAGATTCTTAGTATATTCTATTTAGGTCATTTTACGTTTGAATTTTATTTTTCGGATGTTGTTCTAATTAGATTCAATATTAGTTTAAAAAAATAAAATTGTAGGTCCGGCCAATTTCCTACAATCTAACTGTGTGACGGCAACGAAAGCCTAGTTCCACGTTTTTATGTCCACCCTTATCTGTTATCTCATTTTTAAAGAAAGATGTGGTGTCGTGGGACACCAGGTAGGAACGAAGTTCCTTCGGCTAATGTAGAATCGACACAATTTGCAAAAAAAAACAGCAAGAAAGATAACCTAGAAAACCTTACAAAGATTTTAGTATGTACACACAATATTAACCAATGTAAAATATTTTATATTTACAAATAAACTAATACTTTCGTATTTAATTATTTTGCACTGAATAATTTCCCACTATTATCACTGTCAATTGCATTCAAGTTACTTGTTAGTTCACTTGCCATTGTTACTATATTTATTATTGTTTTGACGATTTGAAATTATATGAAAATAAACGTGGCTACTCACGAGTAAAATGTATCTATAATGTGAGTATTCGCCACGTGCTTGTCCATGAATTCATGAGTATATACTATGCATTGGCGGGGTGGAGTGGTAATAGAGAGAGAAGGGATGAGAGAACGAAAAGAAAGAAGGAGAAAGAGAAAGGTATTATAAACTACTCGCTTGTGTATAAGACTGTCGCGCCTGCGCACGTCTCATTTAACGGTTTTATTCCACGGAATTTTTCTTACGGTTTTACTATCACATTTTTTTCAGTTCGGTCGCGCAGCAAAATCCCTATCCCCTCCAAGCCTGCCGTAAGGAACTTCGTTCCAATAAAGAAATTAAGCGCGCTTTTACAACAAACTGAAAATTTTTTTCATTATAGATTCTGGTGTCACCAATTTAGGCTAATGTAATAAAATAATTGCATTATCATCCGTCAATGATACGTGTGCAAATAGGATTTCTTGAAGTTGCTGAATGATACTTTACCTATTATAAATAGATACAGCTCGTAATAATAAGAGATAAAAATAGTATTTTATGTATTGGAAAAACGAATGTATTCTACAAAAAATATAATGATCCAAGAAATCATATAAGTACATAAGAAATTATTACGAATTTGATTTTTTTCTGGTGAACACAGAACACAGCTTGAAATAAACCGATCTTAATAAAGTATGTAATTTTTTCATCGAGAACGTTATTTGGAAAACATAAAATTATGCAAAATAAATTTAATGAAAATTATGAATGTTGTTGAACGATAAACTTTTTACCCATAAAAATAGGTCACAATTTCAATAAAATGTCCCGACCGTCGGAGAAAAGTGTGACGGTGTGAGATTTCATTTTTAAGGCAGGGAAAATATGGAGATTCTTTATTTACCTCGTTGTAAAAGAGAAGGAGGGTTTATGTTCGAGTGTTCGTATATTTTTAAGTGTGTTCACCGATTTCTCCGCTAGTTTTGTACTAATTTAGATTGTTTTTGTTAGAAAGGGCTTACTCTCGAGGTAGTTCCATTGTTAAGTACGAGTATGTATATGATACTGCTAATTGTAAACTGTACACTTATATTTGTAGACACACTGTGTGACCTAAGTACGATATTAAGAAACACTGAGGAAAATATAGAAGTACAGAATCAATCTCAAACTATTTCATCTCATCAATGAGAGACATCCAGCATGTTGGCGTTAATTGCATCTACAATAGTTATAAAATTGAAGACATTGCGAATAACCTATATATTTATATATATAGTTCTGCTTTTGCAAACATTTCAAACATTTATGTTATTAAATACAATTATAACTTTAGGCGGCCAGCATGGCGTCGGCTGCTAGCGAGAATCGCAAGATGTTGCTTAGCCAAGAGAGTGACACGCGTACCATCAGTCACCCCATGGCGTTACGAAAGAGACTTAGACCTCCTAAGCAGCCTAGACCTGCTCGAAGACTTCCACAGGTATTACCCCTAGATATTTTAGAAGAGTCTTAGAGCAGATCTGTCTTAGGAAACTACGCTGCGCTTTTCATTTCTGTGCTGTTGCTGGTAAAAAATGCGAATCTAGCTAAAATCATATCGTAGATTGTCATAAACAAATTAATTTAATTAATTAGTTGTACCAACAAAGTCATGACTAATACAATATAATCGACAAATTAACAAGAAGGTACGCGACAAATGCTCGTAAAGGTGCAAACGACAGTGCAATAGTTAACAATATTTTGAAATAAAAAAAAGGTTAATTGAATAATAATACTGTAAAAGTTTATTTAGTACAGTTACAGCTTTTTTTATATTTTCCAGAATTTCTGTATATTAAACGGTTGTCTGGAAGAGATCGCTTTTAGCGATCAGACCGCCTGTTGTACAAATGTATCTGCTTTTTTGATTGTTTTTTCAATGTAAATTGTGTTTTGGTGTGCAATAAAGTGTATTCTCTGTCTCTCTCTCTAAAATATAATAAAAATTAAATTAATCGTATCATTTAATTTTCTACAAAATTCGAATTTTCACGGAAGCAAAACTGTGTAAATGCGATTATCAAATTAAAATCTGGTTTCTGCTTAGGCTTTAATCATCGGCGTCCGGAAATGTGGCACTCGAGCTCTCCTGGAAATGCTGTACCTACATCCGATGGTCCAAAAGGCTTCCGGAGAAGTTCATTTCTTCGACAGAGATGAGAACTACGCTTTGGGCCTGGAATGGTACAGAAGTAAAATGCCATTGTCGTTCAAAGGACAAATCACAATTGAGAAGAGTCCCAGCTATTTTGTTACGCCAGAGGTAAGGGCAACCGAACGGACATGTTAATTTCAATAGGTGTTATAGTTTTGATTCGTTTCATGAAATCCATATTGTCACGAAAAACGTCTTTGATGTATTTCCACAGTAAAAACATGAACATATTTTTATTGCTTAGTTGGGTGGACGAGCTCACAGCCCACCTGGTGTTAAGTGGTTACTGGAGCCCATAGACATTTACAACGTAAATGCGCCGCCCACCTTGAGATATAAGTTCTAAGATCTCGGTATAGTTACAACGGCTGCCCTACCCTTCAAACCGAAGCGCATTACTGCTTCGCGGCAGAAATAGGCAGGGCGATGGTCCCTACCCGCGCGGACTCACAAGAGGTCCCACCACCAGTAATTACGCAAATTAAATTTTTAATACATTTATTAAATATACAATCTTTGAAAATCGATTTGTCCTCTCTCGGTATCGTAGTACTTAAACTAATTAACCATCTTTGTTTAGAAAATGTTCAAATGTTGAATAGGTACCAGAACGCGTTCGGGCAATGAACTCCTCAGTCCGTCTTCTACTAATAGTCCGGGAACCAGTTACACGAGCGATATCCGACTACACGCAACTACGAAGTCGGGCCACACCATCTGTGCCAGCCCAATCTCAGTTAACCGGACAAGCTATTGCCAACACTGCGAAACCGTTCGAACATCTAGCCATCTCTCCAGACGGGTCTATCAACGTGGCTTACAGGTAAGAGTCCTCTCAATACGAGTAACTTTTATAGTACCTACTTGAAACCTTAGAACTTTTATCTCAAGGTGGGTGGCGCATTTGCGTTGTGGATGTCTATGGGCTCCAGTAACCACTTAACACCAGGTAGGCTGTGAGCTCGTCCACCCATCCAAGCAATAAAAAAAAACCTTGCAGGATTTTTAGTGTAGGCCAAGACGTTACACTAAGTTCAATTATGACGAAGACCATGTATCGGATCCGAGGTTTTAGCCAATTTTACGTGTAGCATTATCCAAAAGTTTTATAAAATACATATTAAGTGCAAATTGCTGGATTGTCAGGGACTTCGACTATAAAGAAATCAGTCAAAAGAAACCCTAAGGGTAATTAACATGTACATTTATCCAAATAATTTTATCGCTATACAAGCGACAGGCAGTGACTCAGTTGTGTATCTTCAGATATACTATCGGCATACCTTCGAAACCATTAGATAACTTTACCCCTCATCTATTTTTATCCAAGTACTTACTACTAGTTTTAAGAATAATTTGTCACGAACGGACCAATCATACTACCAATAAATCCATGGATTCGAATATCAAAAGTCTTGAAAACTCTCGTTTAAAAAGAACTATAGGCATTATGGAAAGCATAAATAAGTAAAAAATGTGATAATAAGCTCATTATATAAAGTCTTGTATTTTGAAAGACGTTATTATTACAAACACATAACGTAATTTGTTAGTATAATTTCATGCATCTCGTTATATATTCAAATGAATATGGCCATTGAAACTGGAAGAAATTTTTACCTTGGAAACACGAAGGGGATTTCTTTTCATTTACTTTTTAATAAAATTACGGCCACTGGTCGAGATTCATTTGAACCTATTTCATGTTTTTCTTCCGTCGTAAGGTAATTCAATTATTTCTTTCATTTGCAATTCAAATAATGTTGTTAAGTCCTGTAAAACGACTGTATTTTATATTTCAATATTTTTTTCTTATATCAGTGAAATTTTATGATTATTTTACTATCTTCTTCTTCTATATATATAAAATTGAATTGCTGTTCGTTAGTCTCGCTAAAACTCGAGAACGGCTGGACCGATTTGGCTAATTTTGATCTTGAATTATTTGTGGAAGTCCAGAGAAGGTTTAAAAAGTAGATAAATATGAAAATGCTCGGAATTAAATAAAAATAACAATTTTGTTTTTCCTTTGATGTGTCCCCCGTCGGACGGATTCCTTTTGTTTGTTTTAAGTTTATTTTATACAAAAGTTTAGGTCTTTTATTTATCGATTGAGGCACTACGAAGTCTGCCGGGTCAGCTAGTTCTACAATAAAACATCTTTTTCTTTTTAATTATCTATAGACAGGTGTATTTACAGCCCCTTAGTGCTACAGTGGCTAGAGGAATCATAGATATCACAACGTTAATGTTGCCAATGCGACAATATTTTTAGACATGTTTATATCGGATTCAATGTATCATTTTAGAGTTACTTTGCGATAGTCAGCGTCTAGACTGCGTTCATGACATTCTTGACGTCTATGAGTGACAGTAACAATTCAACATTACGAAAACAGTAAGATCGTCTACAACAACAATAAATCCAAATAACAGTCTCACTCTCTATTTACGCGGGGCTTAAGTCTCTGATGCAATTTAATCTATGTTTTACGTTCAAATAGGCCGATAGCGATATCTCTATATCACGCTCATCTGCATCGTTGGCTGGAGGTGTTTCCACGAGAACAAATCCTGGTTGTCAACGGCGACCAGCTTATTGAAGACCCAGTGCCTCAGTTGCGTCGGATCGAGAAGTTCCTTGGACTCGAACATAAAATAGGTATGTATTTGGATTACTAAAAATTAAATCGCAATTTTATTTGAACATTAATCGTTTTTTTTTTTTAGTCTTAGCCCTGGTAACTATACTTTTCGATTTAGTTTAAATGAGAAATGTAAATTTTCATAGTGCGATCCTATTGATTTTAATTCAAAGTTTACATCATAAATTTGTGTAACAATACAATAAATAATATACGAACTCTGAAAACAGGAAGGAAAAATTTCTACTTCAATGAAACAAAAGGCTTCTATTGCCTCCGCAACGACACGACAGACAAATGTTTGCGCGAGACAAAAGGTCGTAAGCACCCGAGAGTCGATCCCACCGTTGTGACTAAACTGAGGAAGTTCTTTATACAGCACAACCAGAAATTCTACGATCTCGTCGGAGAGGATCTTGGCTGGCCTGAAGATTAAAAGGTTGCTTGGAAAACAGAAAAAAAAAAAAAACAAAATAAACCATAATATATCCAAAAACACCATAATTTCTATATATGATTTACTAATGAAATTATATGAGTATACACCGTAGCAATTAAAAAAAAATGTTTTACAAAAATTTATCTTCACTTAACAAAATTTAGAGATTTAGGCAAATAAATACCAAGCAATAAAATTTTAGGGTTGAATTATAAAGTAATTGGATTTCAGACGCCTTGTTAATAAAGAATTAAATATAATGAATGTTGTGATCAGATACATATCAAAAGTAAATTATTAAATATTTCTTAAAGTAAATAATACATATCATTAGAATGTAATTTTTTTTAATCTTTACGTATATACATTTAAAGATAGTGTAAGTCACGCAGGAACAAAATTTTATTGATCTTGTAATTTTCATAAAATATTATTTATTTACTAGCAAAAATATATTTATAATATTATGAATTAATGATTCAGTTGGCTATACAAATTTTATGAGAACCACTTTTTGAATTATTAAAAACGTTTAAAATAGAAGTTTGCACTAGGAAAGGGAACAATGTAATGAATGGCACTGAACCGCAATACTTAATATAAATAATATCAAGATAAAGTTCATGGAAAAACAAACAAAATTCGTACATAAACACACGGGTAACGTGTTTTTTTTTCTATATCCGCGTTCAATACCTAAATTCAACTAAGGATGTAAAAGGAAGAATTGAAAAAACAATCTTAAACATAATGTCTGAAAAGGCGTTGTTCTCAACTACCTTCCGATTGCCAAGAATAGGAAAACTATTTTCACCTAAATAATTAATCAGTGTGGTGGGTGCCATTTCGCATGATGAATGTATTCACGAGCTAGTTTATATATGAAAAGATCAAAATTGTATAACGTACGCCAATTTATTAAGCGCTGTTTTAAAAACCAAAAAAAAACCGACCCATTGGTATCTTGAGCAATATATTTTTGTAAATGTAATTAAGGATTTTATTAAGTATACAGAATTACGACACAGTCGTGATTTTTCATACGATTTGTGATTATTTTTTTTAGTACAGAAATTGAATATAAGTAAGTACTAAGAATGCGTGTTGTAAAATAGATTTCAAGCTTTCCTCTATTTAGATGTTGTGATTGGTCGTGTGTTATTGTAGTTGTTTTACATATAAAAATAAATATTTCGTTTTGTCGCTAAAGAGAAAGTCCTATTCTTCGAAATTAATACAAATTAGTAGATTAATAAATGTTATTATAATCTTCTCGTAGCGTCTAAATTGCGGATTCTTAATTTTATCTATATCAATGTTTTATTAGTTCATAGTCTTCTCTTGGTTACTGGTCTTCGACTAATACGTGTTAGTTTTTTTGGTAGTAGGTGCCGATTGAATGTGTCAACGCCGTTATTAATAAGAACTGGTGTGAAGCAATTCTACGCGGGTTGAGAGTATTCTTTATAAGTGTAACAATAAAGACTGAAAAGAGTTAGTTGAATAAGTCTAAGTAATATCTTTATAGCTTAAATGTCCATAGCTATTACGGGAGACGGCGAGCCCTTTAGCAAAGCAACATCGATGTTGGGCAGTTAGGAGATTTAGTTTATTTAAGTAGTATTTGCTTCGGTGTTAAATTTGTTCAGAGTCAACGAATATTTATATGTTTTTATATTATAATAATAATATCGCATCATTTGCGGACACTTTTGACATTGTCAGAAAATATGCAATAAGTACACATTATTAAGTAATATAAAGAACGATCTTGATTCACCATTGAACGGGATGTGTTGAAAATCTAGTATTTACCAGACACAGGGATTTGACAGACTTAACATAATACATATTATAAGTGAAAATATCTTCTATTCTCGATTAAAAATTTCCAAAAAATATCAAGATGATTGTTATAGATATTATATGTTATATTAATATATGATAAATTTTCCATATTCCTTAATTAGTGTCAACCCAAAAATTACCGTTATTTTATTTGTACACACTTCATTATAGCTTAGAGAAAATACAATTTTCAACACATCACGTCTCACAAGAATATCAAGCATATCAATATTATAATAAATATTAAATAGTTACTACACTAATATTTTATAAATTTAAATAATATTTAGATAACAAGAATCTTTGATTTAAGTATTGAATTAGTCTGTGGATAATTTAATCACTGTTAAATGTTGTGCACTTTCGTAAAGTGTAGTTGAAACTTTTATTAGTGAGATAAATTTATTAGTTTTTTTTTTTTTGTGTACAAAGTGGATTCATGATGTTTTCAATTTCTACAACACTTATTAGGTTTAACTATATTTTAGAATCAGTTCACGGCGAGGGAGAATGAATTATCTTGTCTTTTAGAATAGCTGAAATTCAGAGTTTGACCGTTTGATGGTACAATGAAGATAATTTCGCACCGATTAAAGGCATAATCCTTCTTCCGACCCCGGGACGACCGCCGCGAATCATTGCGGAGTGAGAAGAGTTCTCTTTCACTCTCACTGTCGTGGCGTGCAACCTCTTTGAAAGGACATAAGACCTACAACGACTACACACAGACTAAAACAGACACTTGAAAATAATTCAAAAATTAAAAAAAATCAAGAGAGAAATGGAACGAGGGCGTACGTGACTAGTGGCAGGCAATACTTTTTTTGACTTCCTACAGAACGGACACATTCCGCCAACTCTAGTATGATGATGGCCTCGCAGAAGCTAAGCATTGCCTTCCAGAACTCGTACATCATGACCTCTACTGTCGACAGCGACGACTCCGTCCCTTTTTTTTCCCTACCTACGCTGTCTATGCTGCTATCAGCTTCGTCCTAACGTGTAGGTGAGCTCACAGGGCTCAAACCAGAGTGGTACTAACACTGGCCCTAGCAAGAGCAGTGCTTCGCAGAATCTACCACCGTATCGGAAACGCAACCCACTGAGAAGATCCGGCGAGAAACTCAGTGGGCTGTGTCTGTGGGACTCCGTCCCATTAGCGCGACAAAGACACGACGCTGTCTCTCTCAAACTTGCTAGCTAGATACTTCGTATGTTCCATAGCATCTTCGTCACAGCAACAATGGTAGTTCTCCGTCACGGCGAGATGCATCTAGTTCAGCTTTTTTTTTATTGCTTGGAAGACAGTCAAGTTACGGCCCAAATGATCGTGAGTTGTCATTGTTACTCGTGAAAATCAAGAAAAAGGAGACTTCATAGCTCTTAGGAAATATCAGGCTTCAAAAAAAGAAATCTCTGGAAACGAAAAATCTTCACTGCGGATGAGCGCGGTGAGTAAAATGGAGATGCGACCGTTTAGAGATTTTTGTGAATCTGGATTTTGTGGAAAATATAACCTATTTAGTCTTTCATAAAATTGATAAAAAAATGTTAGAATAGAATTTGTTTGAGATGATTCCATCATTTCGTTTTTACCATCGCACCGCCCGCCACCGCAGCGAGTTTATCCATAATGTCTGGAACCACTGCGTTCATCCACAATGCAATTTCAGAGATCTTTTTTGACAGGTACCATCCGACTTTGGAATGAGCTCCCCCCACGGTGTTTTTTCACGAGCGCTATAACATGTCTTTCTTCAAACGAGGCTTGTGGAGAGTATTTGACGGTAGGCAGCGACTTGGCTCTGCCCCTGGCATTGTTGAAGTCCATGGGCGACGGTAACCACTCACCAACAGGTGGGCCGCATGCTCGTCTGCCTACAAGGGCAACAAAAAAAAATTTATTATACACCAAATCCATATAAACAATTTACAAATGTTATCTATGTTTGAATTGCACCGACTCACTTAATTTGAATAATGTTGAATAATTTAAAGCAAACACCAATCCTTTCGCAGCAACACTTCGTCTGTATAAAGCAGACATTCGTGTGCAAATCTCAATAAAATATGTATACACCTGGTGCGGATTTCCATTTTTTAAATAAATATGTATGGAAACAGCCTTGTAAGGGAATAGTCGATGACAACGCCTTGTATTGCGTGTATATGCAGCACCACCGACACATTTAGCAAAACATAGTTTCGAATAGACGTTACTGGAGTGATTAAGTGTAAATATTGTGGAATAATCAGATTAGAAAATAAGCTTTAGCGTTGAATTTTGGTAACAAACCGGCCTGAGATAAAAGGCTTTGTAACCAACCCAAATAGAGTCAATCAAATTCAATATCTGTTATGGTTGACGTATTACTTTGTTCTCCGGTGTTATTGTTTCTTGAATTTCACATTAAAATCACCCCTAGGGAATATCTTGCTAAAAGGTCACAATACTTGAAGGGCTGTTGCGATGAGAATTACCCACCTTATATTGTACCATCGAAATTAATTACACTGCACAGCTTCCTAGAGCTTTTACAACCTATCACTATGTAAATTTAATTGGGAGAATTCCAAATTTGAATTTAATGATGTCATATAAAATTGGTTTAATCATTTGAAACAAGGTAGGAGTTTATGACCGTGAATCTGCGTGGTCTTCGAGTTTATACAAATCCGGCTGACGGTCTAATGCTATCCAAACTTCTAACAAAACGAGCAAGTTATTAACAAAGAAAAATAAAGAAGAAACAACATGGAAATGTACTATAAGATTGTAAAAAGTTTACATATTTAAAGAAAAAATATAATTTTCCTTTTTTTTTTTTTCCTACCTAAGCTGATAGCCAGGGGCTATGTCAGCGTAACCCTAACTTTAGTAGGTGAGCTCAAGGGGCTCAAACCTGATGACGTTGCTAACACGAACCCTAGCAAGAGCCGTGCTACGCAGAATCTACCACCGCATCGGAAACGCGACCCACTGAGAAGATCCGGCGAGAAACTCAGTGAGCTGTGTCTGAGTGTTAATTTACTCGTCGAGCCCTTCGTCGCAAGCGACGGGTTCGACGAGAACGGTGACCGGTGCTTGAAGTACCTAAAAGCACCGTTAGTGGATCGGGAGGATCCGAGATGACGTGTTAATTTTCCATAGAGCTATAATAGTTACAAAGCATGTTATTGGCAAATAAAAATGGTTTTATGAAGTTTTAAAATACATCAAATTGATAGAAATATATGTACAAAACTGTTGTTTTTTAAGCAAGTAAAGTAAAATTAATAATATTTTTACAATGTATTAATTAATTAATTATTCAAAATGACATTGAATTATCTAAATAATATATGGATTATTGTGCCGTAAACCTTCGCCGTGGCAGATACGTTTAATTCATATATAAAATATACCGTACTGTTGAACTGATGATTACTAAGAAAAATGTATTTTATGTTTGACAAGATAATGTACAATTTATAGCAGATTTACAAATTATTCATTATTGCGTCACTTTTAATTGTTACTTCAATATCTTGTAAATATCTTCTAAAGTCCTCTAGTTAAATCATCTAAATCTTACGTCTTCTATAAATAAAGAAATGAATCAACTGTTTGTCTTTCATTATACGATAGCTTTCCTTATACTTCTTGTGTACATACTCGTATATGTAGAGTGCCCGTAGTATTTTTTTGGGGTTGTTTTATTACCAGAATACATACAATTGGCAGGAAATGTGCCAAAAATGTTATTTTGGAATAAGATAGAATTAGAAAAACATAGATTTGGAAATTCTAACATCAAATATTTAAATGTGTACACGGAAATTGATTTCTATTCTTATATTCCTCTTCCGTTTTATTCAAAGACCCTGAAATTTATCAGCCTTAACTTCAGCCTTGGTAATGAGATGTCTCGCTGTGTTTGCTAAGCGAGAATTCTGGTTTTCCATTTATAGTCGTCTTGTCTCTGCACTAGCGGAGTATTAGCAGAAGTTGTTTTACGCGACTGCTATTTTTATTTGATATATTTACTTACTAAATTGAAAAAATAAATCTAATCTATAAAGTGCCCGACGGTTCAAAATTTTCGGAGTTTTATAGATCGCGGAGTGCTTGTGATGTCTTTCAAGGATAAAATAAGCGACGAACTATCCATAGAATAATGGTGCTGCTATTGATAAGTAGTTACTGATGCCTAAAATAAAAATAACATGGTCCTCATAAGGCTCTTAATTACAATACTACGATCAGCAACAAATGTGTGTCATCATAGGTTTTGATTGGTGTAAAAAGCGTTAAAAATATTTATTTATTATTTATTTATTTAAGGATTACCGCCAGGGTTTACAGTAAGACATAAAATAACATTGACATGTATAGAGCAATTGATTACTGCCACTTTAATTAGAGGCAATCACAGCATGCATTACATTAATATATCAATAGAGATTTAACAATACTATTAATAATAATAAAAAATTAAAAACAAAAGAAAGACAACAAGGACAGTAATACCCAAGTACTCAGACCAAGGCTGTGGCTGAGGTTCAACAACAACTTTTTATAATTTTGTTCCTGAATATTGGAAGGAATCGCCAAATATGTCAAGGTTTTCAGCTTTTCTGACTAGATTATTATAAAGGTTAGTTAGACGAGGAGCAGATGAGTGCTTGCCTAGATTGGTTCTGCTAAAGCAGGTGCTGAAAAGAGCAACGAGGCGACGAGGTAACCTGGATGGCACCTTCAAAGAGAATTTATTGAGGATGGATTGGGAGTCGACAGCACCGCTCATAACTTGATGTAAAAAACACAAGCCTAACATATCGCGGCGATCATTCAATATTTGCATTTTAAAATATTTAGCCCTATCAACGTAAGATTCAACATTATTGGGTGGCCTAAAACGGTACGACATGTGGTGAAGTAACTTTTTTTGAATTCTCTCAATCCTGTTAATATTAAATTTAATTTGGTAACTAGTCAAAATGGATTACGTGATTACTGTGACTGTAGTTTTTTATGTGAAAAATATCAATATCCTGAAATTCTCGCGCGCTATTTTGTACTCTATGTTAATCTTACTAAATATTATATAAGAGATATTTTAATTTATGAGCTAATGTATTGTGAAGTTGCATTTAAGCCCGTCCCTTAGTTTTTGCGTGAAAAACCTTGAAAGAAAGAATTTGCATTCAACCTCAGAAACTTTCGCCTTTAAAATTGAATTTAAAAAACATAGACCTTTAAAAAAGTTACACAATAGCAGATGATGAGCTGTAGGATTTCTTCGGATTTTGGACTTTCAGATTTTGATAAATAATGTAAAGAATTCTCAATTATTTAGTAAAATTACTCATTATCGAAATGTTGAAGTCTTTTGAGCTTAACATCAAAATTTTCCCTAACGAGCCTTCAGAACAAGTATTTCAGTGTACATAAATCGCCGCTGACCCGAAAACCGTTTCGCTTCGACTTGCCTCCAGCATCAATCACAGCTGCTTGTAATCTCCATTCCTCAAGGGGGGCTGTCGGGTCTATCCTGTGACCGATTGATATTGGACCACATAAAAAATATCCTACGTAGGGCACAGGAACTCACCTGGGCCTCTAAATAAATAGGGGCCACGTAACTTAGGAAAAATTACTTTTAGCCTCTGCTCCCAGGGCAAATACGCACCAGTAACTCATTTGTTACGAACGTGTATTCAGATGGGATTTTCAAACAATTCCGCTCTGAAAAACTTCCACCCAGCTACTTAATTTTTATGCGAAGTGCTTTCGACGCTTACCTTTGTACTAGCTAGCTGTCATGGTAATTTATGAATATTTTATTGTCAGAGTCTGTTCTTTTATTATTAGGTGAAATTATCTTCAGATAATTCTATTGCAATGTTTCAATTCGAATAAATTTAAACAAAATTGATTCAAATACACAATTCTGTGAGATTCTCAAATGAACAAACCATATTAATATAATACTGCAACAAAAGGGATATAGCTTAAGGAGCGATTACTTTAAAACATATGAATATACGATAGTACGTCTAACATAGTTTTTTTTTTCTTAGATGGGTGGACGAGCTCACAGCCCACCTGGTGTTAAGTGGTTACTGGAGCCCATATACATCCACAACGTAAATGCGCCACCCACCTTGAGATATAAGTTCTAAGGTCTCAAGTATAGTTACAACGGCTGCCCCACCCTTCAAACCGAAACGCATTACTGCTTCACGGCAGAAATAGGCAGGGTGGTGGTACCTACCCGTGCGGACTCACAAGAGGTCCTACCACCAGTAATTATGCAAATTATAATTTTGCGGGTTTCATTTTTAATACACGATGTTATTCTTTCACCGGAAATCAATCGTGAACATTTGTTGAGTATTTCATTAGAAAAATTGGTACCCGCCTGAGATTCGAACACCGATGCATCGCTCAACACGAATGCACCGGACGTCTTATCCGTTAGGCCACGACGACTTCGTAATATAATGAATTGTTTAAAATTTTATCATATCTATGATTCTGAAAATATTGCAG